TTTTTTTTTTTTTTTTTTTTTTTACTGCTATAATTTCTAAGTCTGAAGCTCTGTTAGAAAGAATGGGTATAAACTGCAATTTAGATTCCTCACCTCAGCCAAAATGTAACTTTATCCAGATCACAAAAAACCTAACCTCAGCCTCCGACTGACTTACAAATGTTCATTTTTTTTTGTTCAAAGACAATTCATAGGCAGGAAGGTCCTGAGAACACAATGGATCAAAGAAACTGTAGCAAAGTTTATAAAGGAGCACGCTCAGGATGGAGAGTTGTTTGGGGAAACCAGATGGAGATACAGGAACCTTCTGGGGTCTCTTCAGAATTTAGGCCTGCTTATGCTATCATCAGGGGATGATAGGCTTTTGAGTGATGTAGACATTTGTGTAGACTGTTTTCAAACCCTTTTTCACTAGATGAAGTAGGACTAAAGAAAGCAATACGTTAAGGCTCCCATTCTACATATATGTCGGGCGAGCTGGATCCAACTAATGCTTTCTCTTGTGGGCATGTGCTGAGCTCGGTGTGCAAGCACACGGAGTTTAAAGTGACATTTTTTGGTGTTTTTTTTTTTTAACATCTGTGAGCAGCTTGCCTTCTTTAAACACTCTGTTTTGCCAGTGTAAGCTATTGGTCACAGGCTCCTGAAGGTAAGAACCTCAGGTATCTAAACCATTCAGATTTGTGGCTTCACATTTTCTTAAAGGTGCATTTATCCTTAAGTAGACATCTTGCTCCCCAAGTTCCTTGGTTAGTTCCAAAGCATAAGTGCAAGGGAGGGATTCTTTCGTATATAATATTGACTCTTGCTTTATCATTCACACACCTTACCCTTAATTTAGCCATGAGCCTAGTTAACTAGCCAGTTCACAGCAAAATTAATACATTTGTGCAACATGTCCTTCTGTAGCAAGAAAAAATATCTACTATATATGTTTAATGTTCAAGAGTTAATAGCCTTAGATAGTGTCTGAAATACTGCATTAAAGCAGCAGAAATACTGTAAGGAGGCTGGCTGCCTTGCAACACCATTACGTGAAAACTAATATCCCTTGAGGGCAGGAGCCATGTTGTGTTCTGCAGTAAGTTCATGCCAAACTGAAACTCTAAAATCCATGTTGAGTCGTAGAATTGTTCTCTTAAAAAAGAAAAATCCTTGTATACCAAAATGACTGACTCACTTTTTCCTTTCAAACTTCCAAAACCAAACCAAGCTTCTAAGTTAGGACATTTTCAGCTTGAAAGGTGAAAGACAAAGAAAATTATGAGTGACTATGTAAACTTGGGTTATGGGCTCAATCCAGTGTTTTTTTTTGTGAAGTTGGAGTAGATTTGTCATTGGCTTCAGTGAGGGCTGGATTTGTTCTATAAGAATAAAATTGTGCATTACAGTGCCATTTCCAACTGGCTGCACATATCGTTGATAGAAAATCTTTCATATATAGAAAATTTCTGAATTCATATTTTATTTTAAAGCAATTACAAAACTATTATTTTGTATTTCTTCCTTGACCACACTACAAATATACAATTCCAAAATACATGACATTGTTTCCCCTGATACAAGTTTGGGTTCTAGAAAGCACCCGTTCTAAGTGTCTGCCATTTCAAAAGGCAGTTGTGTATTTTGGAGGCCAAGATGCCAGACATTTATTAGTTGAAAGACCTAACTGCCTTCCTTTCAATTTGAACAACTAAGAGATGAATTGTATTGGTCTTTTCAAATAATATTGTTTCTTAAGAATTTGATGGATACTTGTAAAACAAATGATGGAATTCTGACTCCCTTTCTGTAATGCATATGATGTTGAGACACCAAAGTCTTGAAAACATGGATACAACCAGTGAAATTTCAAGACTGTATTTGTGCATGCTTCAAGGAAGACATTATGAATTTAATTTTGTACATGCTTCAAGGAAGACATTTATGGATTTATGATTTGACAAATAGCACTTGTTCTACTAAGACAATACCAGGCTAATGACTCAGTACCTGAGAATAATATTAGGGAGAAAATAGAATGGGGAAAAGATGGAGACAAGTAAATTTAGAGATTTCAGAGGTATAATAGCAATAGGCCCTAGAAGTAAAAAATAAAAAACTTACTAAATGTATTCAGAGTAAAGGGAGAAGTACAGTTTGCATTGTCACAAGCTCACTTCTAACCTTTTTCATTACTTGTTGGTTAGAAGTTCCTTACCAGAAACTGCTTCAACAATGACCAAATCATTTTGATAGGCTGTGTCAGTCTGATGCCAGTCTCCCCATGGAGTTATGGAAACATGAACACTGCCCAACTGAGTGGCACATGTGGTTTTGACAGGTCCCAGTGCAAGGGGAGCCTGGCATTAGGCTGTAGCAACCTGATGCCAAGCTTCCTCTGTACAGAGAGCTGGGTGGTACATAGGGTTTATACAGCTTCCTGCACATCAGGACCTGTCAAAACCCTGTGTGCTGCCCAGCTGGGTAGCACACAGGGTTTTGGGAGGTCCCGACCACACATTTAAATTTAAAGCATGATACAAATGAGACACAAAATTATTTCACATATAATAGAAAAATATTACATATATTCCATATAATGTGCAATAACTTAGTGGCTTGTTTACTGCATTATGCCTTACATCGAGTTGCACACGTCTGGGTTACTATTTAAAATGTAACCTGTGTCAGGGACCTAAGGGAGGGAAATCAAAGAGTTATGACGCCTTGCATGGTTAAGTGTTTGAAAGTTTTTTCAGGTCAGTTTGCTGCAAGCGGTATTTTTGTTGCAAATCATCTGGTCTTTTAGTGTGAGTTAATAAGTCAATTTATGGTGGTAGTAGATTTATTTGAATGTGGGATGAGTTTACCCACAGGAAAGCAGGTGTGGATGCCTCCCCATTGCAAAACTGTTGAATATCTGTCAAGTCCTCCCACTGCTTTCCCCCTCTACTTTACTGGATTGCCTACATTAAATTCTTGCATGACATTTATTTTCTCTGGGGTTATTCTGGCTGGATTTTACATTGCAATGTAAATTGCATTGCACAGCCAGCATCTGTCCTTCATGATTCCAGCATGTGTGGAGCTCAGATACCTGTGTCATATTCCTAGTTAATAATTGCTGAGTAGTGATACTGAAGCATGAGGCTGGTCTTGTGCTGAAGTCCTTGATTTTATTTCCCTAAGGGAAGAGGAGCATGTATAGGCATAGCTGAATTTTAGTTATTTAATACACAAATATGCTATGGCTCTCTCTCAAAATGAAGAAGTGACTCACAAAGAGCATCTTCTGCTAGATATAATGGATAACAGTTAAACTTTGAGGAGCTAGACTGGACTGTTGCATTTGATGGACACCATCAAAGAAAATCCTCTCAAGAGCATCTAGGAGAGGGATACTGAACACTGATCTTGTTGCCCTGGAGATCCAAAGGAAGTAGCAGACTTGCAGGCTCAGGATCTGTCTGAATCACACCCTCATCATTAACTGTGCCACAGCTGGAGACTGTGGGATCACACCTGGTGAGTGTTGTTTGGTATTGTAATATCCTTTAATAAATAAAGGAGTTGAAAATTCTTTAGTTCAGGGTCCAAAAGAGTTTGATCTCTGGACCTCCTGAGCTTTTCTACTGCCTTTCCATTGCTAAATATGGTGACTACACCAGATCTGTGTATGTTTTCATGCTGGATTCTTTCTTTTCATTTGTTTTGTTTTGGACACCAACATGCAATTGCTACTTAATCTTGCTGTGTCCCAGGCCAACCTTCTTAACATAGTATGTATCCTGTCTTGTCCTAAATCCACCAGTCTCTGACAAACAGGTTCTCCATTCAAGATGGTCACACTGCAAACCAGAACTTTTGAAGCAAGTGCTTGTTATAGAAGCAAATACAGAAAAGTGAAGGCAACTGAATCATTTATGTAGCTCACATTCTCATTAATGCTCAGTTTTTATCCAGTATGAGTTATAAGCTAACTTAGAAAAGTCTGAACACATAAACACTGCAAAAAGAAAAGTAGTGTAAGGCACTATAAAGATTTGATTTCCCTTTTGGGCTATTGCAATATTTTATTTATTTTGCAGTGCACTTTCTGCTGATCCTCAAATGTTAAGGAGAGCTTAAAATAAAAATAAAGCTCTGATTTCTCTCAGTTATTGCATGAGAGTGCAAGTTTCTCAGCCATTCTCATACAGTTTGTAGTCACTTCTACACTGGCTCTGGGGCACTTTGTGCCACTGGCACTGGCAAACCACTTATGTGGCACTTTGTTCACTGCCTTTTTGACAGAATCTTTCTGTGCCTTTTTGAAGATGTTCCTCAGGGTAACCTACTCCAAAATAAAGAAAGTCTGCAGAAATGCACATGCCAGCACAAGCACGTTAGAAATGTGCATCTCACCTATCTTTTTCTAACAGTTGAAATCACCATCTCCCTGCCATCTGCTTCATGCCACAGGCCCATTGGTCCTAAACGAAAAGGGGAATATTTGCAAAATGTCTCATCTTCAAGAACAACCCAAGACTAAGAAGGGCCTGTGGAATAGAATTCCAAGGTGGTCAAGAAAAAGAACATTTTCTCACTGTATTTTCTCACTGTTAGCTTGGATGTTACAATTTTCACTATAACTAGATTTTTTTTCTCTCTATCTTCCATATAGCAGTTGACGCCTTTGGATAACAGATGAAATGTCTGTTCAACCTATGTTGGAAGAAGAGGAGTTCAAATGATGACACATTCAAAGAACTTGAGCTCATCCAAAGAGAGGGATAGAAAGAAAGGTGTAGAAAAGATTATGGCCTAAAGTATGAGGAGAGGGAAAAGGACAGAAACTAGAAATAACTGCAGGGGTTGACAGAGTGAAAAACAAATGTCCGGGAGAAGAAGCCAGAGCCTTCATACCAGTCCCTTATCTCTGTATTGTTGGACACACCATTCAGTGCAACATCACCTAGCAATGGGACTTCTCAAGGCATTCTAGACTACAGGACAATAAAGAAATGCTGTATGACAACAGGTAGGGACAAGCCATTCAACCAGCATCCCACACCCTTAAAATGCCGAAAACAGTTTTAAAAACCCTATGTATGCCTAATTGTGACCCTAAAGTAAAAGTCTTGCGTCCACATTAGCTTTTCACTTTCCTTTCTATAATGTTCAGATCAGTTTGTATGCTCAACTATTTTACTCATGATAAAGTTAGAAAAGTCTGTATCCATTATTAATAAGCATTATTATGTGTGAAATAACTTTCCTCTTACCTTTGCATACACCCTCTTAAAATATCATAATACAAGCCATGTCCCACAGTAGTTACATAGTAGCACATGTGCTAAGACAATGAATAAAGTGTGGAACACTTGTAAACAATATGTATTTCTGTCTCCTCTGTGATCCTAAGCAGTTTAGCAGTGAGTACTACCCAACTCTAGGGCTGTTCAGAAAATCTCCCAACCTCTTCTAAGCCTTTGTCCTCCTTGCTATCACAGGGTTAAGGTTGAGCAAAACACAAGCAGCTGTGAGACAAGTATTTCTCATTAGGCTTCAGTGATCTCCATCTCCTAGATGTCAGTGATTCTCATCTATCTTTCCCTTTCTTTATTGAAGGCCCCCTCTACACTTTGCAAGTATTGTGCAATTAACCAGTTAATTGCACACTTACCTGGAGACCAGCTACACATGCCAAAGTAGCAATCATAACATAAAAAGCTCTAAACAGCTATAAAGTTAGACCTTGAAAATGTGTACTGACTTTATAGCTGGTTGCTACTGAGCTTTAATTTGCACGTCTCCCCTGTGGGGAGCCCGATCAACCAGGCCTGGTGTACCTCCTTGAGCCCTGGGGATTGCAGCAGCCATGATGTTCAGGGGTGCCTTGTACCCCTGAGCCCTAGGGATTAGGGCAACTGCAATGTGCAGAGGTTTTCCACACACCTGAGCTCTAGGAGTCATGACAGCTCTGATCCCCAGGGTCCAGGGGTTTCACGCACCCCCAGACCCTGTGAATCACAGCTTTCCTGACACCTAGGGGTCTGGGGTGTGGGAAGCCCTCAGGGCTAGAGGATTGGGGTGATCCTTCAGCCTCAGGGGTTTCCCCACACCTCTTGGGGGGGGCTTGCTGTGGTGATGATCCTATGTCCCCAGGGGTGCATGGAGGACTGCTGCATCTGGGAGCTCCTCAACTTGGGTGCATAGGGCTCCCAGCTGCAGGAGTTTGCTTCTTGCTGATGCAGGGGGATCAGGCTCCCTCTGAACCGGCAATAAGGTGTGATGGGATCCAATGTGCAATCCCACCTCCTGCCACACACATTGTGCATTACATCTCATCACATCTTTATCTGCATGTGTAGAAGAAAACAAAAAGTCTACTGTCATTCTGCAGCTACTTATGCTTCTTTTCCCCTTGTCATTGTATTTTAAAAAACACCGCATAAATGGTAATTTGGGATTCTCAGAATGACTGGAAAATGAAAAACACCATCAGTTTACATTAAGAGCTCAGGAAAAGAATACGTTTTTCTTTCTACTGCAGAAAACGATCCAGAATATGAAAAGATCCTGGCATTATGGACCTTTCTAGACCCTTCAAAATTTAGCATTGGAAAACCTTTCCTAGGATCAATCATACTTTGCAGCTCCATAGAGAAATGTTCATTTACACTGATGAACTTCAATGCCTTTGGGGCTGGGTGGGGAATGTTAGGGGCAAAGAATAGACACATACATTCTAACAGTGGTCTCCGTATGATTTAGGAGCTCCAAGCATGCAAACCCATTAAAAGCCTTCTATAGTTTGCTCAGGTTTTTAAACCAGAGGAAAGTAGCTTCTTAATTGCAATGCACTTTTCCATTACAACATTCCACCTACTTGTTTTACTAATACTGACCTGATTAGCTACTGATGAGTAGGAATCCAGCTTTTAATCTGTTGTAAAGTTCCTTTTGTAGGCAGTAGAGACATTTCACGTAGGTAGTCTGCCACTGCTGCTCAGGGGTGAGGCCTTTACATATATCTAGGAAAGTGGTTTTGGCCATCCTAGAATTTGGGCACTGTGCACATCACTATTCTGTTACACCAGTCACTTAGGTTTGTTTGAGTCCAAAAGCAGCTCTCCATTGAGTGGAATCAGGAACAGATTTAGAAGATTCCTTTAAAGCCCTTCGAATGTACAGCATAAGAAATCATGGAGTGCACACAGCTCAGCAGTGAAGCATTGTGCCATGGAAAGTTTGATGGCTGAAATTCATTCAAGACATCTTTGTTTTTGTGTAGCTTCAAAAACAGGAGGCAGTAGTACCTTGGCTGTAGGGTAATGCGTGGTGTGTACATGGCTATAGATTCAATAGAAATAAGTACAAGCTATTGGTGGGAGAGTAGTCTAAATTGTGTAGTCCAAATGGTGGCTGAGAGTAAAGGCTGCGTTAGATAATGACATAGGAGAGCTGAAGGAAGTCCAAGACAATTAAAAAAATTGTTTGTAAAACATAAGAAAGTGTCAGTGCTAAAGCTGTAATGTTCTATACTCTGTACCTTCTAAGATATATCTATAGCTTCCAAGACACATGTAAATACCCATCACAGCTAGTTACAGAGGGACGAAATTTAAGGACGTAAAAGGTCCATGTAGCCAAGTGTTCTGCCTCTGGTAGTGACAAGTAGCTGCGTTAGGGGAAGACTGTAGGAAACAAGGAACATGCAGAATGATCCCCTCCCTGTCCTACCCCTCCCCCCAACGCGAGTCCATTCCAGTTTCCTCACTTCAGGTATATTGTGGAGAATGCAGGCAGTTTTGTTTCCTGGCTCCTGATATTTGGCTCTGTTTGGACTTCACCCCGTGGATTGCCTCCTGGATTGGTACTTGGCATCTGATCCCCAGACCTGACTAGACTGTGCCATGGACTCTGGCTTTGGTATATTCTTCCTGCCCTTTGACCCAGCTCCTGGCTCTGCTTTCCCATTAGGTTTGACTGCCTATCCCTTAGTCCCATACACCTGGTGGCTCATGACTACCTGGAGTATAATGGAAAAGAACCAGTTGTGCTTTATATAATCCAAGGCATGGCAAGATGGGTACAGAATGGGTATGTGGGTCCCATTGATGGTCCCCATGTAGTTCAGGAAGCCCATCTGTTCAAACTCAGTGATGACTTTCTGCAGGTTCCCAAGCTGGATGACCTGAGGCCCCAGCTCCTCAAATATGACACTCTTGTGCAGTTGTCACCATTGTCTACCCTAGACTAAACTGTTTGGTGATAGAATGGAGTCTGTTGGTGTGCACCAACTTCCAAATCACCAGGGCAGTGCGTCTTTTGGTGGATGTGGGGTGACTGAAGTCCTGAGTCATTCTCCAGCAGGATACCCATTACAGGGATGTGTGGGGAGCAGATTGCTCCTCTGCCCTGGGCCCTGACCCTGCAATGTTACTGCCCTGCAATCTTGGCCCCGGCCCTGCCTGCCCATTCAGCTTTCACACACCAATCCCTGCCCACCAAGTGCACCCTACCTGTGGGGGTCTCCATGGAGACCCCACCTGCTCACCCACTTCATCTGGCACCCCAGGTGGTGGGTACAAGTTGTACAGGCCCAGGGCAGGATATGATAAATTGGCATTGCCCTGGGCTATCCCTCCCTCCCCATCACCACTGCACTGAGCGGTGTAAACAGATGTGACAAGGCTGAAGCTGGGTCAGCATGTCCCCCCCCCTCCCCCCCGGCCCTTAGGAGCGCATCAAAACTCCTCAAGTGGCCCTCTAGCCAAAATAATTGCCCACACCTGGCTTAGCACACGTTCTTACTTTAATACTGCATAATTTTCCACAGATTTAACACATACTAATTGTCTCGTGACAAGTCACCTAGTCTTTCAAAATGCAACCAGGGCAGTGGTAAACTCACTTTTTTCTTGGTTTGGAATGGTAATGGAAAATGACTTTCACCCCAGCTGGACTATTTAGTTTCTAAACAGACTGTCATTACTGTTCAATGCCTGTACACACCCTACAGTTCATGGCAATAACAGGCCAAACAGGAAAAATAGGAAGAAACTGTCATGTACATTCATTCTCCCACTGCCTTTTGTCACCTCTGACTCCATTTCTCCTACCATGTGATTCTTTTTCCAACCACCTTCCCCCACCACACCCATTACTTCACTGCAATTGTCCTGCTGAAAGGACCACTGAGCAGAAGCTGGTAAGCACACCCTACAGCAGTCTGAAGGACCATGAGGCATGTATGACAGAGCAGCTGTTTTTGATATGGCACCAGGGCAGGTAGGGTCAGATTCAGTTTAAAGATATGTGAATTGTCTATATTGCTTAACCGTAAGGCTTTCTTGCTTCTGTTTTATTTGTGGTGCTAATATACATCCTCCTAAATTACATATGATTGTCTTAACTACATTGCTTTGCTCCTGAAAATTACTCTGTCAGATGCAAAACTAGTGACAAAAAACAACTATATTAGAGTTGTCTAATTTTATTGATTGTTGGAAGTTTTGAGAATAGTGACCTCGATGACTAGGAATAGTTTCAGGTTCTTACCTTACTGGAGACGGTCTTGCAGGTCATATTAGAAAAATGAAAGCTAAACTTTCCTCCTAGATTCACTGACTGTTTGGGGAATTAGGGATATATTATTGCTTAGAGGGAGTAATAATAAACTCTAAGACATGTATTCTTTCTGCCATACTTTTCTTAATATTGCAGACCCTTAGACCTACCTTCTTTTTGCATCACAGATCTCCAAAGTGGGTTATGACTTAAGATAAAAAAGGGTGGATGGATTTGTGCTGTATTTAAAAGAAAATGTTCTCCTCATAATCCTTTTTGAATAAAAGATAAATTTAAGACAAAGGGTGAATTTAGTTGATATCTTCAGTTTATTGGGAAACCTCATATAGTTATGCCTGACTAATCATGTAACTTCATTGTTGCATGCGTCGTGTCCTATCTCTCAGACTCATTTTTGCCTTTTATTTGAAGCTGTGTGCTCACAGCTTATCTGCAAGCACTTTTACTCCACAGGACAGAGACCATTGCATTTGTTGGTGACTTAATGCTATGGTTATATAATAAATATTAAAATGGAATTTGGGAGTTATTTATTGCATTCTTTCCCAATACGCGAATGGTTAGAAAATGTAGCATTTGGATAGCATAAAGATTTGTGGTTACACCCATGAGGACTAAGAATTAATTCCTCTGAATGCAGTGCTTATCTGTGATGGATATAATATGGATTATATCCCTTACTTAAATATTTTTAGAATACCATGAATTGAAAGAGCACTACAGAGCATAAATGACTTAGTGTGATTGCAGCATTTCATGACTATCCACCATCTAAACGTAAATGTAAGTTACAAATGCCTGGG